TCTTACGCCATTTTATTGATATCATGGGGAATAACTCCATACACCACTTTTCTTGGCAGTGCTTCGGTAAAGTTCACTAAGAAACACCATGGTAATTGGAAGGTGCCTCTGGAAATTGTCAAATACTCTGTAAGTACTAGATAGGTCCGTGCATCTTTATTAGTTCAATTCAGTTTACCATGTTTGATTGGTTGATGAATCTTTTTCTCGTAAAGTGGTGTCCGAAGCAGAAACTGGGGAACAACTTATGTGGATACTACGTTTACGAGTTCCTCATGAAGTACTTGTTGAAAACAAGTGAAGAGATCCTCGAAGTACGTAAACAATATATACAATTTATTTTATTATCATTGTGTTGATATATACATACACTAATCATATATATTCATACTTTTTCTTTCGTTCGAATTGAAGCATGAATGGAGGAAGGAAAAGGTCATACGAAGTGATCAGATCAAAGCAATTCAAGAGTCATTAGCAGGATTTCTTAATGACCAAGTATTAAATCCCAGTGGCGCATACTACTATGACGGAAGAAAAATAGTTCCCAGCCTTGATGAAGATTAGGATTGAATGTAATCCTAAGTACATGAATACAAGCTTTTGTTAGCTTATGTACATATTCCATGTACAAGCTTTTGAAATATTTGTATAGTTTCATATATTTTTGTGTGTTATTTATGTATAATGCTTGAATAGAAACTTATACGTATGGACGTAAATTAGCAACGTAGAATTCATATACGAAAAGCTAATTAGAACAAAATAGAATAGAATTGAAAAGAAACCATAAAAGAAAAAGAAAGAAAAAGGAAAAAAGTACCTTTAGTACCGGTTAGCAACACCAACCGGGACTAAACGTGTTAGACCTGGGACAGGGTCTGAAGCCCCATTTCATCCCGGTTGGTATTACTAACCGGAACTAAAGATCCTCTTTCAGTCCCGGTTCCCTGACCCAAGAAGGGGGGGCCTTTAGTCCCCGATTCACAGTTCCGGTTGGGAAACCGCGACTGAAGGGGTTTCTCAACCGAGACTCAACCGAGACTGATGCTCACTCCTGCACTAGTGCGTACATGGTACCTTCCAAACTTGCAACCACTATGCACTTTACTCTCGTCACTCCACTTGTTCTGCTCTTTTGGATACATGCATAGTTGCATGTGTAGCTTAGCTTACCTAATGTCTACTGCCGATCAGCACAGAACTTAGAGAGAACCCCGGACCACATGGAAATATCATTAGCAAGTATGTAACAAAAGTGCTTCGTCAGTCGTTTGGCACAAGATGTCATCGGGCACCCTTTTCTGCCATGCTCTCGAACGTGGACGCCTGCACTGAGCGTCTAGACCGAACTTCAACAAAGAACACATTGCCATTGCAATTCATAGAATTCACCCAATATATAATGCTCCCTCCGTTCCGGTCAATAATTAAAATTTTAGACAATATATGGTATGTACAATATAATTTTTGGCTAGTTCTTTTTGTTCTAATATAGGTTTATAGGCTAAAGTAAATGTATAATTTTTATGGAACTAATTTGAAGACCGATCTACTCGTATAATTCTTAAATACTCTCTCTATTTTAAATTATAAGGTATTTTGACTTTTCTAGATTGGTAGCTTTTATTATGTACTTAGATACATACTATGTATACATATATAGTTAAAACAATGTGTCTAGAGAAGCCAAAACGTACTATAATTTAGAACAGAGTAAGTATTAGGGGATAATCGTGCCATTGACCTGACTTATATTTCTAATTGTTAATTTTTGGTCCCTGTGCAAATGAAGTTGGCCCTAGTTTATTTTCAAATTCTCCACGCTCCTATTTTGTTTGCACTACTTGACAATGGATTTGTACCAGATTGGTATCGATCACCCACTCATATCCATATTCATCAGATTTTTTTTGTCTGCTAAGAAACCCATCCACATGTGCGGGTACAATTGTTTGCCCATACCCTTGCTCATGTGGGTAGCAAGTACCCACGGGTTCCCCATAACCGAGAAGAAATGCACAAATGCGTTAAACTACGATTATACGAGCAAATAATAGAACTACAAATATGTATCAAATGTAAACAAAAAATGGTATGTATATGGCACTAGATGTGTTAGTTGGATCATGTTTTGGAGTACATTAGGTTAGGAAGGCTTTAAATTATAGTTGCATGTCGGGTATATATATACCTTTGGGTTTATGGGTTTGAGTAGTGCAGAGCTATGAACCCAATAGGTAAGGTTTTTTGCCCATTAACATATCCATGGTTAAGTAATTTAGCCTCCACCCATACCCTAATTCAGAAAAAGCATGGGAAAGGATTTGTGGCCTATGGGAGAGAGGAAAGAGGAAAATGAGTGGAGAAAAGGCTAAGATGATGCCGCATGGTGATTATAGCCAGGCAACTTTGTGAGGATACCCAAACGCTCGATTTCCTACACTTTGCGCCCAATAGCCGACGTAGACAGCTCCTACCAGATAAGGATAGGCACGGCTCCAACCAAACAGAGTTTGTTGCATTGGATTTGAGTGCGACAAATCTAGAAGTCAAAGAAGAAGCAAAAAAAAGAAGTAAGAGAGTAGTGATGGCAACGGGTACTCCCATCCCATACCTGTACTCACCATAACAAATTTACCCGTCGAATTACCCATATCTGCATGTGGTGTTTACCCATACTCACACTCGCATAGGTGATATTATACAATGGGTAATCTATACCCGAAAGTACACATGATTCAACTCGTACGAAACAATTCACATATTAAGTAATCATACATGGCAAGCACAAAAGTGTCTAATGATAAAAACTAGTACATCATCACACATACTTGACAAGAGCATATTGGCATATGACAAACAAATGAACAATCAGTAACAAGTAGATAATAAAATATTAACACATGAGTAGTAGGATGTCTAGTTGTCTGATGTTTTTTATTACCCACGGTTGGATGGTATAGATAGTATACACCCGCACCCGCATTTCACCCAATTACATACCTGTGGGTACATAAGTTGTTCATACTCATCTCTTTATCAGGTAAAACCCATCGGTTACTCGATCAGGTACCCATTGCCATATCTAGAGAGCCCAAAATGATCATTGCTCCACCTAGAGGATCACCTTGAAACATCCTCCATCTTCATGAAGTTTATCATTGCTCCCCCCCCTCTTTAAGAATAATGCGGGTACTTGAGAATATGAAGAAGGAAAATAAGTGGTGGCCTGTGGGAGAGAGGAAAGAGGAAAATGAGTTGATGAAAAGATGAAAAGATAAGACGATGCCACATGGTGATTATAGCGCAGCTTTGTGATGAGGCCCAAACACTCGATTTCCTACGTTTGGCTCCCAACAACCAACATAGACAACTCCTACTAGATAAGGATAGTGTCACTAGGTCGAAACTACGGCAAGCATTGTTGTTCGTCAGATGTCACTGAGTGCGATGTCTCCGGTGGCTCGAGTGGACTCAAGAACACAGAACAACTCAAAAATCACACGAGGGACATAGAGGTTTATCCTAGTTCGGGCTATTTGGGCCCCTGGTCCAGCAGTTTGAGGATCTTTCTATTCAAAAGCACCCAAATCGGGGGTTACAATAGAGCGTAAGAGAGATTTGACAGAGGATCACTCGGTGCTGATCCTTGGCTCATCAGCAGTGAGGCCCCCCTCCTCGTCGGAGAGGAGGAAGACGATGGAAAGGGTGGAGGAGCTCTCGGTACTCCTCTCGGGGTGGCTATTGACGGTCACTAAAGTTGATATTTAACTATCAACTTAATAAATATTTATCCCCAAATCAATCACCAACATAGTCAGTAGAGGTTTAAACTATTGGATTCCAAAAGTTTTGATGATTTCATGACTGTAGGAGGATTTAATCAGAAAATATGCAAGGTGAACCATAATGTCAGAGAAATCACAATCATCCGCAACGAAACTAACTTAAAGGACCCCTAATCCACCGTAGAAGACAAATCACTGTGATCTAGCCTGAGCTGTCAGAGAGTGGGGCCGGCCAGCCCCACCTGTAGGCCGGCCTATGGGGCCCACATGTCAGCCCCTGCTTCCTACGTCGGTTCTCCATTGCCTCCTAGGTTCAATCTACGCCGTGGATCAAGGTCGGTTCGAATCGAGGGCCGAGATGAAGCGTTTCCATGGATTCATGGGCCCACAAGGTTGCCTGATGACCCCTATAAAAGGACCCCCTTACCTCCTACAGAAGGCCATCCTCATCTTTAGGATGAGATATCAGAATTCAAGATAGGGTTTCCCATTTGCTGCACATCAATGAACCCATAATATAACAGGATGCTCACGCCTTGGCGTCCTACGGTTGTATAATACAATATTAATAATTGCTTACAACCCTAAGTAACGACATTTCTTTGGTTGCAAAATACACATAATATATATATCGAATCAATGCGGAAAAAGGAGAAGGGGAGAGAGGATACCTTGCTCTTGAAGATCTATGGATCAAATCTAAATTTCCAAGGTCTAATATGCCAATTCTATCGTTGGGCAAAGTGGGTAGAGCAAAAAACCGAGAGAGCAGGAAGAAAAGGAAGAAGGCTCGGCCGAGAAAGGGTGGGCGTCGATTTTAAATGCTACCATGGCGCCACAGATCTTGACGCCGAGCTCAGCGCCATGGATATCGGCGCCAAGCTTGGCGCCATGGATCTCGGCACTGATATCAATGCCAGGTCACCGCGACGTCTGCGTCCACGCCGACGCTAGCCCCCGACCAAGACACCGGAGTAATCCCGCGCCGAGATGTGTAAGCACGACGCCAATTGTCATGACGCCGATATCTAGTTCTATTTTTTGAAAGAACACCGTCAGTCCATTTTTTGAAAGAATACGTCAGGGTGTATTTATAAAAAACTTTTAAGAAAAGGCCAAAACATAAAAAATTGTCGTGGCCCCGGCTCCACCACTGCACCCAGCCCTCCACCCCAACCCCCGCCACGTCGCGTCGTCGCGGCGGCGGAGATGCAGGCCGCCGCCGCCTTCAACCGGGCAGCCTTCACTGCCCGCCCGCTGCATCGCCCCCCAAGGCCCCTCCTCCACCTGTACGCTCGGCTCATTTTCATCCTCTCGACGTGTTAGGTAGTCAGTTTGTTAGTTTCCGCCTTCACGTGCTGATTAGTTCATGTGGCTTTGGTGAATTTTGCAGAGCTGGGGCGGAGGATGCTTTGGAGGGAACAAGAGGCGCGCCCCTGACACGGCCCCCGTGCTTCGGGGGCGCGCCCCGGCCCCGGTGCTCCGGGAGCCTCTCCGTCGGCGTCGGTAGCTACAGCAGCGGCAGCGGTAAGGACGGAGAAACCGTAGATCCATTTAATGCCGTAGCTGCAGTTATTCTGCTACCTTTATCTAGGAAGCAAAACTCGGGAGGCATTACAAGTATGTTATAGTTTATCTAGTTCAGAATAAATAAACAATTGAACATGATGCTAAAGGAAAGGGAGACACTGATACAGAAGGTTTTGATTTGTGTATAACCCCTGTTACCAAATAAGCTTCTTTCACCTAAAAGAAGCTCAGTGGTTTTCCTAAGGCAATTGATGTGAACAATTGAGCATGTTGCCTTTTTTGTTGACTAAAAACCTGCACAAAATCTGCAAAAATTGTCTCTTCTGGTCAACTCTGTCGTTCTGTGAGATAAGAGAAATGTTGAGACACAATTTGCCTTGTGACATCCACAAATGTTACCTCCTTGGGTAACCATAAATCACCTGTGTCCATGCCCAGTTTGCCTAACTTAGCCCATTTTTTTGGTGAATCTTGGAAATGGTTACTGGCTGATAAGAACTGTTTCCTTCCGGACGCATTGTCCTGATAAAATCAAATGAGATGAAATCTAGGCACAAAACCTACTTTTCATATTGTGAGACTGGGATTTTACCTGTCTTTGTTTATTGAGGTTCTGCAGAAATACCAATAACTTTTCTTTCCTTTTGCCATTCTTTTGGTCTGCAATTGTTTCTAGGTCCACAGTTCGATGATGCTGAGTTAATCAATCATGTTTCAGCTCAGGCTCCTCTATGTATTGCTAAACCAGCTGGAAAAGAAATCATAACTTCAAAAGTTTCATTCACTTAGTCAGAATTTGGAACAAACATTTTGAATTATGTTTGGCTGTTCCTACACTTTGATTGCGCAAGCAAAGCTTAGCCTGACTTGTGAAGTTGTGGTCAATGAACCTTTAATACATGCCCTTAACATTAATTTTGTGTGGCCACCAGTTAGTTTTCTGTAGGTTTTTCATCATCATGGTTGCTATTTCAGTTATTTGTTTTTTGTTTTAAGCTGGAAGACTCTGTCTTCAGTTTCGTGCTGTTGGTTGTTCTGTATTTGCACTGCAGTTGACTATCTATGCACATCTGCAGAGCACACTTCTGTATTTCCAAGACAACAATCATGGGATCCCTATAAGCTTCTTGGTGTTGATCATTATTCATCTGAAGAAGAGGTCCGCAGTGCACGGAATTTTCTTCTAAAACAATACGCTGGATATGAAGAAAGTGAAGAGGCCATTGAAGGTGCTTATGACAAGATAATAATGAATAGCTACTCACACCGTAAGAAATCCAAAATCAATCTGAAAAGCAAGCTAAAAAAGCAAGCTGAAGAATCCCCATCATGGCTTAAGGCACTGCTTGGATACATTGAGGTGCCATCACTAGAGATCATTTCAAGGAGATTTGCTTTTTTGCGTTCTTTTCTGGGTCAACTTCTGCTGAGACTGGGCCTGCCTTTCGGGTATGCTTGGATTCATTTGAATAACTACTCAAACGCTGTTTGAAGTACTAAATTTGTTAAATTTAAGATGTTACTCTCCCTGCATCATACATGTTCACTGAAGGGCCAAAACTGTATATTTATGTAAGGTCATAGACTCATAAGTTCGATTGTGATTAAGGTTATGACTTTGTACTGTCTCTACCTCTTTCTCCAGTGCGTCTCCAAAAATCACTGGTATTCACAGTAGCTGGGAGATCTTCTCCCTTTTTGTTTGAGAATTAGAATTACGAAACTGGAATCATATATAAGATGAAGCTTACTGCAGTTATCTTTTCAGCTGTAACAAATTTTGGAGGCACGCCATTGACAGTTTGCTTTTGCAGCTTGCACTATCACTGGTCTCATGCATATACTTCCTCAATGAGAAGATGAAGAATCTTGTCAGGGCGTCCACGGTCCACCACAGGGTTAGTGAGCATTTCCACTGGATACTATCTTAGTTGTTATACGTCATGCCCCAGGTTTTAACTTGTTTATTTTTCCAGGCTCGGAGTCTTTGCTGGGAGTCAATGGCGGATCCAGAAACAGGATGCGCCCCGGGCTAATAAATATAAGGTAGCAACCGAAGAACCTTACATGAAAAAAAAAAAACCCGCATAGGTCTTCATGGTTTAACACCACTTGTACCGACATCCTCAGTACTACATAAAATTTTATAAAATGTAAGTTTTTCAAAAAGCAAGATAACATTTTTTTGTTCGTCTTTAATTTTGGTATTATTCTTTGATGCATCTTTTTTACCATAGTATCTTTCCATTCTAGCGTATGTAGCCTAAGATATGAATTATTAAATGTTACAACTTACATTACCATGGAAATCCACAAATCCAGACACTAGTGCTCAAAAGTCAAATCTCACCTGCTGCTGCTGGGGGCTGAGGCCTGGGCCTGGCCGAGGACCGCGGCTGCCGGCGGCTGCTGCCCGCTGGCCATGGCCAGGTCACCTAGCGGCGGGCGAGGCCACGACCGGCGGTGGCAGGAGGAGCTGAGGAGGCGAGGAAGGCCAGAGTCGGAGCCCGCGACGGTCGGCGGGCGCCACGAGGCGAGGAAGACTGCGCGCGGTTACTTCTTCCCTTTCGTCACGATCGCAAGAGCCGAGTGGACGTGTCGCGGCCTGCGGCCAGGGCTAGGGTTGGAGATTGCTAGGCTGTCCTCGACTCGGGGTGGGCTATTGGGCTGCCTAGCCTTTTTTTTCTGTTTTTCGTCAAACATATATCCACTGTTGTTGGGCCTCGCCCCGGGCTGCAGCCCGGGGCCCAAATCCGCCCTTGCTGGGAGTCTCATGATTGTAATACCTGTACATGAGTCCCATGATAGTAATCAAGCATTGCTGCAGCAATGTAAACGTTGTGGTGGCATGTTTGTGTTGCTGCTTTCCTATCTGCATGTTCGGAGTGATGGGTATTCCATTTTATTCGCACATATTGCAATGATTCTTTACATTATTATATATTTTAACAACCACACAATTGCGATGGCTATTGAGAAGGGATGGATGTTGGATTCTTGCAGTACGGAATCCTTCTTTGTGGCCAGATATCACGCCATGATGGGTTCATCTTTCTCCAATCCATCAGCTGATCGCCGGATTAGCGCGCTGGAGTACTCCTCGTACCTCACGGGCTCGTGCCGCAGAGGCTGGTCACCGTCGACGACGAGCTCGTCCATCGCGCGCACCGTGGCGTTGTCCCTGGACCGGCAGCCGAACAGAACCCAGAAGCGCTCGCGGCTGCTCGGCGTCCTGACGCTGTGGAGGCACGCCGGCACCCGCCCGTTCGGGACGACCTGCGCGACATATCAATCGGGAAATCGTGACAGCTCGGAGAAGATCAGCGCGGAGTGATCCGTACTTACCCTGAACTGCTCGCCGGCCACGAAGGTGACCGTGTCCGGCTCGGGAGGGACGGCGGTCCAGCCCCCGTCCTTGGCCTGCACGATCCCCGTGACCATGGTGTCGTCGCGGTGCTCTTTCATGGACACGCCGGTCACCTTGTCCAGACTCCAGAGGCGCGCCGTAGCGCGACAGCCGCACGCCGTGGGTGAGCGACTCGAGGTGGTCGCCGACGCTCTTCTCGTCCCGGACGCCGAGGCCCTCTAGCGTCATCTTCTCCACCATCCGCTCCAGCTTCAGCATGTTCTTGGCAAACGAGACGATCGTGTCACTGGACGGCGGGCGGATCGATACGATACCATGTGAAATTACCGTGACAGAAACAACGAGATGCGTTTGAGAACGCTGCAAGATGGGGTATTGCAACTCATGCCAACCAAACAATGCCTGGTTGCATGCCCCTAGCCTGGTCAGCGGCAGCATGTATGGGCTGGATACCTTATCCACAGTACCACGCTGGATACCGTATCCATGCAATTCTTTTCCCAGTGCAGGGAACTTGAGAAGAGAACCAAACAGGTCCATATAGTTCCTTTGTTTGCTCAACTCATATATGAGTGGTTCATGTGCCCATGGCCATGGCGCGTCACATGCGCCCGCTGCCGCTGCCCGGCCTGCCCCTGCCCCGCTGCAGCACGAGGCAAGCCATGGATGGCACAAGTTCACACACTCCACACCGTCTCTCTCCTCCATCTGCAAACTGCAAAGCAGAAACAGTCTATTCGCTTGAACGTATTTGGCTTATAAGTCATGACTTATCAACCAACAAACAATATTTTTCTCTCACACCAAACCAGCCAACAATACTTTCAGCCATGACTTATAAGCCAAATAAACTCAAACGACCAGGGTGAAAAGCAGGCAGAGCACCAACCAAAGCAGAAAAGCTGTGCACAGCACAGCAGCAAAAGTTCCCCTCCCTCACTGTGTGTGTGTGTGAAGACAGACTCCGGTCTTTTTAAATTCAGGGGGTCACCTCACCTGTTAAATGTGAAATAGGGTGTTTGGATACTAATAAAAAAAATAAATTACAGAATCCGTCAGTAATCCATGAGACGAATTTATTAAGCCTAATTAATCTATCATTAGCACATGTGTTATTGTAGTACCACATTGTCAAATTATGGACTAATTAAGTTTAAAAGATTCGTCTCACAAATTAGCTACAAACTGTGTAATTAATTATTTTTTTTTAGTGTATATTTCATACTTCATGCACGTGGCCAAACATTTGAAGAATAAGAAATAAACTTAGGGGAGAAGCTAAAAACAAGCCCTCAGAGATAGAGGGGGACTGTTATTTGTTTCTTCTTCTTTTTTTCACGTCCCCCGTCTCTTCACAGTTCACATCGCAATATCTTTTTCCCTCTGGCTGGCCTCTGCCGTCGCCTTTCCGGTGGGTGCAAAAGATTTTGTTGGCCTTGGGAAGCGAGGAGCGCGTTTTCCTCCCCCCGTTCCGGTGGGGTAGTTGGCAAATGGCAACGGAAATGCCTAACTCCAATCCCATTGCTGCTGGAAAGCACAAAGCAGCGGGGGGTAAAAGAGGATGAAAGCCATGGCGACAGAGTGGCCGCCGACGCTCCTTTCCGTGTAGGACTGCAGATTCCTTCGCGCTCCTCCTGCTCCCAGCGAGGAAAAGAGAGCACGAACTAAACTAGGAGGAAGCAGCCCCCCGCCCCCGGGCATTCCTTTCTCTCGAATTGTAGCGGTTGTTGCTTTCCTGTTCAGGTGCCTTGTTCTTGGCCTCCTTCGCACGCAAAGAACCGCCGGTCGTCTTGCTCTTCGGCCTCACGGCCTCACCCACTGCGCTGCTGCTGCTCGTGGAAGGCTTCTTCTTGGCCGCCTCTGCCTGCTTTGCGGTTTCTTGCTCTGCTTTTGAGTAGAGTCGCAGCGGAGTGGACGGTGTGGAGTGGGTCGGCGGTGAGCTGGAAGGCTAGGCTTTGTTTCTCGGGAGGACAAGGGGAAGAGGAGGAGGAGGATGGCCGGAGGAGGGGCGGCGCCGCCGCCGAAGCAGGAGGAGCTGCAGCCGCACCCGGTGAAGGACCAGCTGCCCAGCGTGTCCTACTGCATCACAAGCCCACCGCCCTGGCGTACGTCTCTTTCTCCCTCACTCGCTCACTCACCTGGGACTGGGACAGGGACCGGGACCTTTCGATTTCAATGTTGGAGTGCAACTGTTCTGTGTACTGATGTTGATACCGGTAGTGGTCCTGATTTATGATTTTGACTTGGTGCCTGTCACCTGACCTATATAATCTAACATGCAGCTGAGGCCGTCATCCTTGGATTCCAGCACTACATTGTGATGCTGGGCACGTCTGTCATCATACCGAGTGCTCTTGTTCCCCAGATGGGAGGAGGAAATGTGAGTAAACCAAGCACCTCTCCATGTTCTGAATCCAAGATTTGGGAGCCAACTAGTTTGTGAATTGTGATGTCAAAAAGGCTCAAACTATCTATTGCTGTACGTATCTCCTTTCTGGCTGTTAGGAGGAGAAGGCCCGGGTGATTCAGACGCTGCTGTTCGTTGCTGGCATCAATACCCTGTGCCAGTCATTCTTTGGGACTCGCCTCCCTGCAGTGATGGGTGGATCCTACACCATCGTCGCGCCCACCATTTCCATCATCATGGCTGGCCGTTACAGCAATGAAGCAGACCCTCGTGAGGTAGTTCGAGTTCCCCTGTAACTCATCTCCATTGTCACAGCCTCTTGTGGCTCTGTTTGAGTTCTTGGTACAATACAGTTCACAAGGCGTTGTTCACTCTTGTGCAGAAATTCTTGCGGACCATGCGAGGAACACAAGGCGCTCTCATCATTGCATCGACAATTCAAATCATACTTGGTTTTAGTGGCCTTTGGCGTAACGTCGTTAAGTAGGGATCTTGGCTAACTTTCACCTTCTGCTTACACATGGTACTTTTGTAGAATTTCAGTTTGTACAATTACCGAGTTCTCACCTCTTTCACAGATTCCTAAGCCCATTGTCTGCTGTACCTCTGGTCTCGCTAGCTGGATTTGGGCTATATGAGCTTGGTTTTCCAGGGGTAAGCGTTATCATGCTACTAATTCGGTATTCTGATGTGGCTGCCACATTGTTTCTTTTTTAATTGTTCCTGTTCCTACTGGCTCTAAGATCCATTTGGCTTCAGGTTGCTAAGTGTGTAGAAATTGGGCTTCCAGAAATCATTCTAATGCTCATATTTTCTCAGGTATAGAGTCAATTGTTATAGCTCTCCATACACCTCATACACATTACAGCTGAACTCATGTACTAACGTATTTGTCTTGTGTGCAGTATTTACCTCATGCTGCCCTTGCCACAAAGCCTGTGTTCGACCGGTTTTCTGTGATTTTCACAATTGCGATTGTATGGTTGTATGCATACATTCTCACGGTTAGCGGTGCATACAAGAATGCCCGAACAAAGACACAAGTCCATTGCCGTGTTGACCGCTCTGGACTTGTTGGTGGAGCTCCCTGGTAAGGACATAACCTTGTGCACTTGATCATTGTTTTGTAAAATTTCTTACAGAAGTAGAGGTACCCCCTTCGGTTCTTGGTCGTGGCTGTCTAACATCTTCTTTCGTACCTCCATTCTGACTGTACCAACAATAATTACTTTTTGTAGGATTCGTGTCCCATATCCTTTCCAATGGGGGGCCCCAACATTTGATGCTGGTGAATCATTTGCTATGATGGTGGCCGCATTTGTTGCTCTTGTAGAGGTTTGTCTGCGCCGCTTTACCCAAAATTGAAAAATAAGTGTGTCATGATTACTAGTGTTCTAATAAGCAGTGTGCTACCCTTTCAGTCATCTGGGACCTTCATTGCTGTGTCAAGATATGCAAGCGCGACTATGATACCTCCTTCAGTTCTTGGTCGTGGCATTGGTTGGCAGGTAACTGGCTTGATTTTGGTCAACCAGAAACATCAATTTTGTTACCTTTTTCATGGCCATAACTTGGTCTCATCGTTTGCAATTCTGCAGGGCATCGGTACTTTACTGGGTGCATTTTTGGGACAGCTAACGGGACTGCAGTGTCAGTGTAAGTGTAATGTAGCTATCTAGTGAAACTAGCACTGATTGCTTGGGGGTACTGCTTTTCTCTAATCATTTGTTTTGATATTTGCAGTGAAAATGCTGGTTTGCTTGCTTTGACACATGTTGGCAGCCGGAGAGTAGTTCAGATATCTGCTGGCTTCATGACTTTCTTCTCTATCCTTGGTAATGTACAATCCTGTTTCTGACTTTGGTTACAGTTTCAGTGTTGAACAAAAGGAATCACTAGTGAGGCACAGACTGACACTCCTCACAGTACCTGCTCTGTTCCTGAATTTCAGTATCATGGCTGACTGGCTGTAAATTTGTAATTTGACTTTCAACACTAGTTATAGGTTTTGTTTTGTGTTTAACATGATTTGGATACCGTCGATCATGTGTTTTTTTTTTGGTATCTGCAATTGTTAGGCTGATCATATTCATTTTGCTAAATCAGGGAAATTCGGGGCGATCTTTGCTTCAATCCCACTGCCGATATTTGCTGCCCTGTATTGCATTTTCTTTGCATACATTGGTACGTCCTTAACATCTCATCTTTCAGCTGGGTCCTCTGTCTGCTTCCATTTATGCACATGATGTTGTACAACTAAGTCTTCAACGTATATGGATTCTTCGTCCTGCAGGTGCTTGTGGCCTGAGCTTCCTTCAGTTCTGCAACCTGAACAGCTTCAGGACCAAGTTCATCATGGGGTTCTCCTTGTTCATGGGCCTGTCAGTCCCCCAATACTTCAACGAGTACACGTCCGTGGCGGGCTATGGCCCGGTGCACACCGGCGCCCGATGGGTACGTGAATCGGAGCTAGCTCTGCATGTCATTCTTCTCTATTGCAGCTGAGACTCGTGTAACGGTTTTTCACTAGCCATTGACTTTTGGATGCCCCGGCAGTTCAACGACATGATCAACGTGCCCTTCTCGTCGAAGCCATTCGTGGCGGTGCTGGTGGCCTTCTTCCTGGACAACACGATCCAGGTGCGGGACAGCGGCGTGAGGAGGACA